GCACAGCGGATCGCGGGCGTGAGGCCCGGGCCCGACGCGACGTACTGTCGCGTGTAGTTGGTGTACGCAGCGGACGGACAGATCTGCGGCGATGTGCCTTCCAGTGAGAGAAACGTCGCCGGCGGAAAGAAGAGGTTGTCCATCGACGCCGAACAGAGCGGATAGACTTGCACGAGCTTCTCAGCGCCGTTGACGGTGGCGATGACGAGGCCGAGATCCCAGAGCATTGCTTGCTGCAGTAGCGTCGGAAGGCTGTCCCATGAGAGCTTAAAGGGCGCGAGCTGCGCGAGTACCTTGGGATGGGACAGCGTCGACACGCTCGAGACGGCGTTGGCCTTGTACAGCGCGTGGAAGCGACTCACAAAGTCGGAGCTGTCAGCCGTCGCAGAGACCATCGGTGCCGAAAATGCCTCTACGGTCCGTCGGATTCCAAGCGCATGTCTTGATTGGTCAGCCGATGCTCAGGAGATGAGATCCAACAACCTCCTCCACAACCTTGTGCAAAGTTGCCAACTAGATTGTACCGAATGGTAGATGCTTTACTGCCCATCTTGCAGGGCACATGACGAGCCCGATCTCACCCAGACAATTCAGCCAGCCGCATCACATACCGCGTCATGGGTCTGGAAGACGTCGTCGGTAGCTTGCTGTCTTGGGTGTGTTTGCCTTCTCAATCTCCAGAAAGTGCAATCTCATTTCGAAGTTCGAAGTCTATTTGACACGCAAGAAACGAAGTTTACATCCACTTCGAGGCCGTCCAGGATTGGCTTGAGAGCCATGGGGCTGCAGTGGGCCGAGGCTATCGTGGCGGCCGAGTATGCGGCTGCGCTTGGCGCGTGCATCTACTCGCTTCGGGCGTGGCCCATGACGACGCCGATGCGACTTGCACCGCCACAATACCCGCGTGCGCTCCTTGCGTGGCGCGTGGTCTGCCTCGTGCTCTTCAGCGTCACGCTGGCTATGGACCTCTATACGTCTTACGGCGCGTCGCTGGCCTACTTTACGGCGTGGAACTTTACGCTCCAGCTGGCATACTTTGCGTGGACTGTCAAGGGCAGCGTGCAGCCGTGCGGCGACGACGTCCACTTGGATATGCTCTTTGACGTGTGCATAACGTCGGCGCTGTTTGTGGCCTTTGTCTTCTGGACCCTGCTCGCGACGCCCGACGTCTTTCATGAGCCCGTGTCTATGACTGAGCACAGCGTCAACGTTATCTGCTTGGCCATCGAGTTTGCACTCAACGACCGCGTCGTCAACACTCGGCATGGCTCGCTCGTCGCGCTTTGGCCACTGCTCTACGGCATTTTTACATGGATGAGCCACAATTGTGTCATCCCAGGCGGTGGGTGGCCGTACGATTTCATGGTCGCCGACCAGCCGACCGCACCGCTTTGGTACCTCGGCATCTTTCTTCTCCAAGTCGCGTGCTTCATGCTGTGTCTTGTCGTCAGCCGCCTCAAGCGACATCTGCTCGAGAGCCGACGCGACGACGACAAGCGGTGCATCTCGTACGGCTCCGTGTAGCCACTAGATTATCTAGTCTTGTGCTTAGCCAACAATCCGATCATGATGCGACAATATGAATCCTTTTCGGCCCGCGTTGTGTCTGGCACGCACGCTGGCTTGCGTGCAGCTAGCAGTCGTCGACCACCGCAGCAGCGCCCATATACCGCCACCAGTTGCCCATCGCCGCGCGGTTGCACCGTTGCCGCACCCGCGCCGTCGTGTGGCCACAGCATCTCGTCAGCGAGCTGGTGCGCATGAGGAAGGTCGGGAAGGCGACTCTCTTGTAGCTCTTATTGATAAATTGTCGAGAGCAAGATCGATTGCATCCCAGCATTCACATCGCAAAGATCACCATCCGACCTCTTGCTTGTCCATATGCCCAGCCTCCTCTGCGCAACGAAACTGGCCACTGGACGAAGAGAGAGCTTTGGGTGCCCCACATCGTGCGACTCACATTGTGGCTGGCAGACGGCTGCCTTACCGGTACTCCAAGGAACAATACGCCGGGACGTGATGTCGGCAATCAAATCGGACCCCGCGCAAGACATTATACCTATCAGTGCGCTCCATCCTTGCAGCCGCGTCGGTGCATACACCGTACGACTGCAAGCTCCGACAGATTCGAGTGACGACTCTACGGTACGGGTGAAGGTGACTGGCCGTGGACGCGAAATTTCGATCTTCTCGCCCGTGGCACATCCACGTCCGCAATGCTCCAGCGGTAGCCAATCAAAACGCCGCAAAATCAATACGCCCCATTGATTGGCTCAATTTGCCAGAAAGTCCGCCATCGCAGGCGAGACAGAATCCAATTGGCATGTCGACCAACTCGTGGCTCGAGAGTGCGGACCTCGTCACCAAGTACCAAGCGCTCAACGGGCTTAATGCCACGACAGCGACAAGTGTCGGCGCCGCCCCCACCAAGCCCGACGCAGCCGTCATCGTGCGTCTCACCAAGATGAACTTGGTTTGGGACGACCTCCCGCAGCTGGCCAAACTCGCCATTCTCTGGGACATGGGGTTTGTCCAGAACAACCCAACCGTCGACGTGAACGCGCTCAGCCGCATCTACACGCGCTGCGTCGGCTCGGTCGGCGAGTCCATGGCCAGCATCGCGCTTCCCAAGACCGATTTTTTTGGCCTCCCAGAGCGACGCGACGACGCGGCCATGCGACTCGGCGACAACCGGCGTCTACCTCCGGCAAGAAAACTCGAACGGCGGCCGCCTACGTCCGTACACGCGGTGCGCCACGGCCAACGTCACGATGGGCAACATCAAGGACAGCCACAGCAGCATGTGGGCGCAGGGACGGTCAAGGCCTCAGCACGTACCCACTTCCCAATTTGCAGCGCCACGCCTGGAACAAAAACGAGTTTGGCTCATTTTTCCATCCACACGCAAGAGCTGGCGACCGAGCC